TGATTTATCGTCGATAAACGTGAGTTTTGAAACTCGTAATCAGTTTCTCACCGCGCAAAGACTCCGAATGCTATTAATTATCGCGGTGTCATTCGGACCGTTATTTCGTGTAACGACGCTGTCGATTTAACAGTGATGATCAAAATCATTCGTTCTCGTGATCTTAAATTTAATCCATCACAATGATGGATAAAGTTATATTGGCGTAATTATTTTTATGAAATTAAATTAAAATTAAACAAAATATAATTGGTATGGATTGCCTCTTTAATGATCACAATTTGATATCATACGGAAAGGATGATTTTGCTGGAAAGTCAAAAAATTCTGAAAATAATTTTGTTGGAAAAATTTATTGCTGTAAAAGCAATACTTATTATTTTTCCAACAAAATTATTTTCAGAATTTTTTGACTTTTACAGCAATACTTATTATTTTTCCAACAAAATTATTTTCAGAATTTTTTGACTTTTACAGCAATACTTATTATTTTTCCAACAAAATTATTTTCAGAATTTTTTGACTTTCTAGCAAAATCATCCTTTCCGTGTAATATCAAATTGTAATCATTAAAGAGGCAATCCATACCAATTATATTTTGTTTAATTTTAATTTAATTTTATCATAAAAATAATTACGCCAATATAACTTTATCCATCATTGTAATGGATTAAATTTAAGATCACGAGAACAAATGATTTTGATCATCATCGTTAAATTGACAGCATCGTTACACGAAATAACGGTCCAAATGACAAAATATTTTGATATTCTAACAACAATCAGTTTGATTTTCCAGAAAAATTATTTTGATGATCCAACAAGAATTATTTTCAGACCTGTATCTAGCAAAATTTTTAGACGCTCCAACAAAACTGTTCTTTCCCATGCAGACTTAGTATTGTCAGACGAATAAAAATTCCGGTGGTAATTACGTCAGTTTGATTTAACTGATGTAATTACAGGTAAATTAAGTATGTCTCTTCTATTAGCGAGTTGGACTCGGTATGCGCTCGGTGCGCACGCGTACACAGTGCTGTAAATTACAACGGTGAACACGGAGATTTGTAAATGGGTTTGGAGGTTTTCAGACGACAGATGCTCACGACTTGCGGCTGGAAGTTCCCAAAGTACAGTACTATTATTCGGACAACCCTGTACAATGTAATTTTGGTAGCAGCGGCTAGGCAGTAGATTAGCAACTCTGCAACTACCAGATCTCTATCGGAACAGTTGCTACGTAAATGACATAATTCCACGTGTAAATTGGTCGAAATCGCTAATCACTCTCGTGACTTTTGCTTGCACTGCTCAATATTGCAATTTTCATCGAACATCGTTTGTCATCCGCGTTGTACTTAGAATAACAAATAGCGTAACATTTAATCAATATTATTGTAATTGTGTAATAAAGTAATATAAGAAATAAATTATTTTCTATTAACTCTCCGACGCGAATGTGCCATCAATATATAATATAAATTCCGCGAGGCAATATTGCGAGAATATTTAATAACGAGCGTAGATCAAATTACATTAACCTTGGAACATCGTGTAAATATACATGCTTGATATCCGGCAGCATTAATCAGCGTGAAATTAGACATTGCTGCACCGGATAGCCGAACGTTGTGCGGGCGCAGCCTCGATAAAATATCGACCATTAGCCGGCTATTATCTTAGTCGTATAGCGGAGGATTCGCGGCCGCTGTTAATGCCGCGTTAATAAAGATTACTGATAACGTCAATCCAGAAATATTGCGGAAATTTCGCGGAGAACACGGCATATCTCGGCAATTGTCACTCTCGAATCGTACTTCTTCTTCTATTAATTCGCATCGAATGTATGTATTGTACGTTTGACCGTGTGCCCTCTAAGGATTATAATAATAGAATGATATATTCAGAAAGCAGATATTTTTTTAGAATCTTCTTGTCGCGTTCGATATTTGATTTCCGCGTAACTTATTACTCAATATAATTAAAGATTGTTGCTGCATATCGCGCGCAACATACTAATTTTTAAAAACCATGTTGTTAGAGAAAATATTGACGTAAATCTTGAATATTTATAAAGGATGAAAAAAAATAATTTATCTGACGTAAAAAAACTTTGCGAGGAACGTGCGCAAGCAAACATTCGTTAACGAGCAAACAATTTTTCTTATGCGCATACGTATATATACATATATTTAAAATTTTTCCGACAAGTGCATCTGATTCAAAAGAAGAGAGGTTGACTTTTAATTTGGCTTTTCCTTTTTTTTTATTAAAATATAAAATTTTTAAAAGAGCTTAATATACATAGTGCATTTTGTTTTTCCTTCAATATCTTTTGTTCTGTAATTTTTATTACATGTTATAATTTTGTTTCTTCTTTTGTATCTTCATGTATACTTCATGTTTACATATCCTTTTTATACACCGAGAGAAAAATATAATTGGAATAACCATAATTTAACTGTAATTTATGGTAAATTTCGGAGACAATTGTAAAATTATAATTAATTTAACCATGTAAATTATAGCTGCTTTAACAATACATTGTGGTTATACATTATGATTGATATTATTACTTTTTTGTTTACTTATTTTTTAATTATTATTACAATATATAAATAGTAAGAAAATGTTAAGAAAATAGTTATACTTACTGTAATTGCAGTTGCATTTACTACATCAAAATATTTATTTTATTTGTCTCATATCTTGATATTTTACTATATTAATATTTGAAGATATTATAATTTATAGTAAAAATTTTGCATATTCGGTAGGACTATACATATAAGGTTATTATTACTAACATTATAGTAATAATAACTATAAAAATAGTACTCCTAACCATAATTTTTTTACCATGCAATTATAATCACAAATACAAAATATTCTTCTCTCAGTATATATTCACTTAGTTTATTTCAACAGAGAATAATAAACTGATCTTCTTTTACCTCCTTCTCTCCATTATCTCACAGTTTTATAACATGGCTCTTTTTTTTTATTTTTCAAGCACAGCGAGGCGTGGTGGTTATTTCGGGCCGGCAGTGTCGCTCGTATCCCAGAGTCGATTGTCCTCAGTTTTATCAGCCCTCGATAGTGGCGCGACGGGAACGTGAAGATCGCACAGAGAAAGAGAAAGCCCGGAAAAATTGGAAGCAAGAAACGAGAGGAAGGGATGAAACTGCGATCGAGATAAAAAAGAAGCGTAATTTTCGTACTCTGGGGTGCGCTCGATTCAACGTCTGCAGGGCTTCAGCGATCCCCCGCGTCCCTGTATAGGCGCGAAAGAGAGGAATGACGCGAGTGAGCGGCCGAGACTTATATACGCGTATGTGCACGTAGTTCTCTGAGAGCGTATACGTGTACACAGGGTGTCCAAAAATCCACTTTTCTAATTGTATAGATCCCCCGGCCAATTTGAGGTCGATCCTTTCGTAGCAAAAAACACCGGGGAGTATCGAACATTTGCCGCAACTTTTTAACTTAAGTGAACAAATTGAAAACTCCGTCGAAGCTTACTTAAACTCGTAGAAAACTTGGACATTACACCAAGCTCGAAAATTACGGCACACCAATCTGTTATCCGTTTGGCTGAAAAGTACGTCACACGGAGAACCTTTCTTTTATCCCTAATTACTCGAAAGCTATTTGTGTCGCGACATTCTCATTTAAGATTTATTAACTCGAGAATCTACGATCAAATAAAGTATATAGTAGTTCCGCGGGGGATACCCAATGTCGATGCTTATCGGTGTGTGTCTGACTGTGCCGGCGATTACCCGCATCGCGTTTACCGAGGTTTCCGGGGATAGTGTGAGTCCCCAGCGGATTGGGGATAGATGCCGCGAGGAACGGCGAAGGAGGTTGCCCCTCCGCCGAGAGGCCTCCGGGCAATGAGGATAGATGATGCAGTACGTCCGGCCTAACTCGTCTTGCGTTCGCGAGACGCGCGCACAGCGGTGGTCCTCTTCGTTATTCCTAAGGCCCTTTATCCGCGTACGTGCCGACCCGGCGGTCAATTAAAAATCGCAGAGCGCCGCGCGTGGAACAAATGCTCCTGATTATTTCTTATGCTAATGAGCTCGTGGCGCACGCGCGAGAGTAGGTACGTGACTGCGCGACGCCGTGAAACTGCAGCGCACTGACATAACGTCGCGACGGCGGCTCTGTCACCTTTCTTTCAGGTCGCGTCGCTCGAAGGGAAAAGGAACGAGCTAACGTTGCAGTAAGTGAAATGCTAATTAGTTGCATTCGCTTATCTATGCGATCTAAATAATAAATCTTGCTAACCGAAACTGCTTCTTATACGGTAGTTTCTTCAGGATGCCTTCAATTACGTACATGACATTTATTTTTAGTTTAAAATAATTATCAGGTTGTTTTTCAAATAAGACTTATATTTATAAAAATTAAAAATATTAATAAGCAAGGACACCTATTAAACAAATAATCTAAGCAAATAAAAAAAAGAGGACATGAAGAGCTGTCAGCGCGGTAAGTACGCAATTATAATTGTAATCTAATGTAGGTTATGTAATAAAATATAATCTTTAAAATGATACGAGTTTTTATGCATATTTTGGCCTAACTTTAAGCTATCATCAGTGTTACGTTGTTAAACGGTCACACAGTAGTTCACATTTCGGATGCCGTGTGTACAATTCCGTGAGAAAAAAAAGAAGCAGTCTATAATGTCTACATGATCTAGATTAAAGCCGCAAAATGACTCTCAACCGGTTCTAATGCCGGTTGGATAGGCTTGCGATCACTGTAAAGCATCACACAATGATCCATAATCGCAAAACAAGATATTATTAAATAAAATGCCACAAAATAAATTATTAAAGTTCTAAAATCTTGAAATACATTGAAAGGAGATAAGACAAAGTTAAATTAAAATTAAACTGTGTATATTTCCAATTATTGTGTACATTCACACATATATATATATATATATATATATATATATATATATATTTAAATTAAATGCAAGATTAATCCGCAATTCCTGGCTACGGCATTCTACTTACACATCATAATTATGTAGTCAGTAATTCTAACATTGCGACACTTCAATGGCGAACAACAATCTAAAATCCCAGGAATGCACTAAAAAAGATTGCGCGAGATTATGATCTTGTACACAGATGTAAAACAGTTTCTTATAGTCTTAATAAGATTATATGAATTATTCACAGAAAACAACACATGAATTAAAAATTTTTTAAATTTTAACATTGTTTTCTTTGCCTGTCTTTATAATGCGAAAAAACGATTATCTTTCATAAAATATATATAAATACTTACTATGTCATATTCACCTCGACATTCTTCAGAAGCAACCATAGTAATCATAGTAATAATAACGAAAATAATAAACTTCATTTTATCAATATTTTCTGTAATTATTATTTCTTATATATTATATACCTACAAAATATCTTCGATACGCGTATGCGATGTAATATTATGATAATACTTTTATAATAATTGTCAATTTAATTTTTCTTTTAAATTTCTCTTTTAAATGACAAAATTAATAAACAAAAAATTATATTTTATTATTAATATAATATCAATAGATAGTTTTATGAATAGTTTATTAACTATTAATCTGAATTCTCAGTCTTTATTTTATAAAATTAGATGAATGTTAGAACTTACGTTAGAACGTTTTTCTTGGGGAGCAAATTGATTATGCAGGTTGTACGATGTATTCGCAACTGATCAATTTTAGACCTTCAAAGAGTATTTATACCTACTTCTTATCGCACTTGTGCAATAAAAATTATCGGTAATATTATATAATTGCTTACGTTATCTGCTATATGTAAGGAAACATTGTTTGGGCAAACTATTCCAAAGTTACATTCTTGCGTTTTTGCGTTATCTGTTATGTTCAAGGAAACATCGTTTGGACAGACTATTCCAAAATTATATTTTTGCGTCTTTAATTCAAATTATTAATTACAAAGGGTTTATTTTTCATTACAGTATGTTGCATTTTGTAGGGGTTAGAATGTTTTACAATATTCGATATTCTGTAAGATTAAATTACATATAATATAATAATCAAGTTATAGAACACAATTGTATTGAATTGTTTTGTCACATTGTTAAAATTTTATTGTACTATTAAACAATTACATTATACAAATTGCATAAAAAAAAAGATTTTTTTATAAGTTTTTTATGAACGTTTAGGTCAACTAAAATACATGAAATAATAATTCTTATAATCTTGAGAAATTTTTTATAGAAAACAGAAATTATTATTTTTTAAATATAATAATTTTTAATAATAAATTTTTAAGATACCGTTTTATAAATATTTGTGATTTTAATCAATTAATATAATTCGTTTTAATCTTTATCAAAGAATTAATAATTGTGTATAAATATAATTTCAGTAGACAAGTAGTAATTCTGTAAGCATTTTTTGTTTTCCTCCATTTACTTTTGATATTATTCAACGTACGATTATGTTAAAATACCTTCTAAAAATAATTAATTATATATTATAGACGGTTTATTTTAAAACCAAAGACATTAAACAATACGATTATCTTGAAATAGATCTAAAGTAATTGTAAATTATCATTGTATTTTGAAAAATAATTATAATAAGTATTAATAAGTATTAATACTTGTATAATAAGTATTAATATATATAAACACTTCCAAAGTTATCGATACGGCTATATTTTTTTTCAGAAGCATCTATAGCCGTAGCAATTATAACAAAAATAATAAAAATAAAGAATTTTATCTTGTCAATATTTCGTGTGATTATTATATTTTGTGTAATATTTACTTACATTTATTATTTCCTGTCTCTTATACACATCTCTGAG